CTTCATCCTCCACAGCCAGGCATACTTGCAAATAAAAAAAATTGCTCAACTTTTATTCACATCCGATAGGGCATTCCCAACAGAGTCTCTCGAAATACTCAGTTTCTTTCCCCCCCAATAATACCTATGCAAACAAGCCACACCAAAGCAAAAGTATCTCATATCATCAGGGTTAAAAGCAAGAGTATCCCATATCATGCTTTTTCCCTGTCTTTTCCTTTGCCCTTGCACTTACCTGCAGGACAAGGAGAAAAAACGCAATCAGTCGGAACCTGAAATCAAACTTCCGATCTGGAACTGATTGCCTGGAATCTTTGCATGGTTTTTTGCCTAACATTGCTCTCTAGTACTTATCTTCAACTGTTGTCAAGGTCATGAAGTCCTTCGGTAAATACCTCAGAACAGTTGATATGATATTGACGCTTTACACTGAAGCTGCCACGCATGGATGAGTCGCTGAGAAGTAGTCCTCTAAAGGACCATTTAAATGCAAAGGTTGCATTCCACTCCTACATCGGGAAAAAATGTTGTAACAGATTGAAGCAGAATGATAGGAGCATATTTATGCGACTTAGTTAGTTTGTTTTCTTGCATTTTCATAGTTTGTTTATGTTTATTATTGTGTTTTAAGCTATTTTCGTGTGTTTGTAGGTCCATATGACAAAGTTGGAAAGAAAGTGCAATTTGGAGCATTTTTAGGCAATTTTGGGCACCAAATGGATAGCTTATGAATGGAGCAAGATGGATGGACGAATTTGAAGTTCAAGAGGCTAGGAATGAGTTGAAAAGAGTGAAGAAATAAATCCAAGTCAAGGAAGATAAGAAATCAGCTCAAAAGAAGGAACATTATCCAAAACCTTATCCAATCTTATCTTATCCTATCCTTGCCTAACCTAACCTTATCTTATCCTATCTTATCCAAATCAATTTGTGCCTTGATTCCAGCTATTTCTAAGCGATAATTATGTATTTAAACTATATATTTCAGATTCTAGAACCCTTAACCCCTAAATTGGTGCTAAAACATCTTTTCTAGAAGCATCTAAAAATCTGGCGATTTTCCCCTTTTCTAGAAGCTTTAGAACCTGAAATCTCAATCATTTTCCCTCTTGATTTAGGCCAAATGTATCCCTTTCCTTGTAGGAATTAGTGCCGCACCTTATTGACCCAATCCCCTTTGGTTTTCTGATTGATTTAACCCATTCCACTTAGGTTTTGGTTTCACAATCCTTATCCCATTTTAATTTCAGAAACCTATCCAAATCCTTAGGGATTTTGACATGTATTCCAGCCTATAAATACCAACCCTTGCCGCATAAATCATTCACCACCCTCTACCATATTTTTCTACACCATTCACCATACACACCTCATTGTGCCGTGAGTATTGCAAGGAAGGAAGGACAAGGAGCTACCTGGAGCCGTGCTTGCCATTCAAGACGTTGGATCGTTGGAGCGTTTCTAGGTGTATTCTATCTTTGTTTTTAATGTTTAATTTAAGTTATCTTTGTTTAATTGCGAACATGAGGAACTAATTTCTTTATAGTTAGAGGTGAATTCGAAGCCATGATTATATGTTTTATATGAATTGATTTCATCCAGTTATTGTTTCATGAATTGTGGATGTGGTTTACTTATCGGTTTTATTAAGAACTTGTTCTTGTGTGTTAATTAAGGATGCATATTTAGTTTGCATGCATGAATTTGATGCTAGAGTATAAGGGAATTTCACCTAATCGTTACGAACTTATATTCATGAGTAGTAAAGTCACGATTGTGTTAAGTAAATCCTAGGCAAGAGTAACATGCTTTTCATAGTTATGAATGCCTCATCAATGTTTATGGTTTCCATTGAACTTAATGATCTTTGTTAAGTGTTTCTATCATGCGTATTCCATAGTTAGGGAACTTGATAAAGAATAACTTAGTTGTGATGCGTTATCCATTCAATTCAATGAATCTAGGGAAATCTGAGAATTAATTAGTTCAATACAATTAATTTGGGGCATTGTCATTCATGGTTTGTTGAAAGAATAATTGGAAATTGATTCGTATGCATATGTCATGTGTGGAGAAGGAACCCTCTAACTAGCCTTTCACCATTCTTTTTCATCCAAATTCATTTTTCTTAAGTTTGTTTTCAAAGTTTCTGTTTTAAATTTCAATTTCGTCAAAACAAAATCTCCATTCATTAAGTCTTGTTTTTAGAGTCAAAACCTGTTTTCTTTTGGTCTTTTGAGTCTTTTAAGTTCTATTTTCGTCCAAATCATTTGTTAGGTCTAGAATTGAGTCTTTTTTATTGTTACTTGCTATTTTGAGTGTTTTGAGTTAGTTTTGAGTCTATAGAGTCTAGTTTAGTGTTTTTGAGTCTTATTTGTGTTGATTAGCATCCCTAGTTAATCCTCGGTCTAGAACTATCCCTATTTGCTTAAATACTACAATTGTCATCAATAGGGTTTAATTTGTGTGTCACAGAATGATCAATAATAAGCTGGAACAGATCACTATAGCACGATGCCCTTCCTGCAGAACCATACAACCCAGACAAAGGAATCTAAATCAAATTCAAACCCAGCATCGCTATCCGAAGAACTCGAGAAGCTTCAACAACCTTTCTCTGACACCATCGCCAAAAAGCAAAGCCTCGCCATACCACACCCACTACTTTGTCGACAACAAAAGTATCCCATATCATTAGGGTCGAACGTACTCTACATTTGATGGACTTGTTTTGACCCTCAAATTCTTGAGTCGGTCTTATACTCTGGAGGAAAAGCAGAAAACCTTCCAGTCCAGTTCAAGAATAAGCCTGTGGAAAGTTACTTCTTCAAAAGCAAAAGTATCTCATATCATCTCTTCTCCATTTTCTTCTCCTTATCCTTGTTGCTGTTTACAACACAAGGAGAAGGAGAACAATCAACCGGAAGCCGAAGTCGAACCTCCGATCCAGGTTGCTTGCTTGGAAGTCTGATTGCTTACCTTGTATGTTACCTCATTCGGCAGACCTTCTCACTCAAAACTTGGGGGACTCCTGTTATAGGATTTGTATTGTGCTTGACCAAGCCCAAAACTACAAGTAAGCTTCAAGTGAAATTGATACATTACCTTGTGCATCTCTACCGGTTAGAGATACAACTCCTGGATGAAGGAAAATTACTTCAAGAGAAGATGCCACATCTACTTATGAGACAAATAAAGCAAGTAAAAACGATACCACACTTCTATACTTAGAAGTTTTGTGATTACTCAATGGCTTGGATCTTGCAAGTCCATAACCAGGAAGCTTCCTTCACTCGAGAACTTAGGGGAGCACTGTTTGTACCATACTTGACCAACCCCGAAACTACTAAGCACCGGTCAACATTATACCGCCAAGGACCCACAAGAGTCTCCCTCCAGCCAGGAGCCCAATCACAATGCGACACACATCAACATCAGAGGCCAATCATAACGCGACACGTGGCAACATCAGAGGCCAATCACAGCACGACACGTGTCAATGTCAGAATGAAACTAGAAACTCTCTTCTATAAATAGAGATCATTCTCTCACAATATTTCCTAATGTCATTTGTACTAAATCATTCATTAGGACTCACTAAAGAAGAGCTTGAACCTATGTACTTGTGTAAACCCTTCACAATTAATGAGAAGTCCTCTACTCCATGGACGTAGCCAATCTGGGTGAACCATGTACATCTTGTGTTTGCTTCCCTGTCTCTATCCATTTGCATACTTATCCACACTAGTGACTTAAGCAATCTAGCGAAGGTCACAAACTTAACACTTTCTATTATACCAAAGTCCTCACTGATTTTGTGCATCAACATTGTTAATTACGAAGAAAAAGAAGAGTGCTACAATGGATTGCACCATAACAATCGTTTTGTCAACTAAGACGGTCAAAACTCTAAAATGCAAATGATCACAAACTAAGCAGTGAGTGCAAGAGTTCGACAAAAAAAGCAGTGAGTGCAAGAGGATTGGAGTTGAACTGCGTTTTATAACATCATTAATTAGGATTTTTTATTTTTCGTTTATAGTTTGTTCTTGAAGAATTGGAAATTGGGACCTATTCCAAGGTCTGGGGAAACACAGCCACACCATTAACCAGTCGGTTTCATATGATTTATTATTATTTGTGTGATGCTTGAACTTCTATTATGTGTGTACATTTAGAAATACTTGTTTCTTACTTTTAGCCCCTAAGGCTCATTTTTTATTTGTTCTTCTTTTAGACTTTTTTCTTTGGTTGAATACGGAGGACTGCACAACCGCTGCTTCTTCACGTTCAAAAGAAGTAAATAAATAAAAGGAAACGTAGGAAAAATGTACTAGAAAAAGATAAGGAAGATATTGCCTGGAGGCTGGAATTATGCACTAGATTAATAAGATAACAGCATGGCAAGTTCCCTAGATATTTATCTTTGAAAATTATTTATAGTAGATCAAACAGCATCTTAAGCTGGACAAATTAGCAGCAATATCATACCCCACTGCAAACAAGACCACAGCTTGTAATTTGTCCCCTTGTAAGACAAGGACTAGGGTATTAATTAGGTATTAGTCAGTTGAAGTTAGGGGTGGATTGGATGAATCTAAAGGAGTGACCATCGCAAACAATGGAATTTTTTACCACTTTACTATAGTTTCTGTTAGTTTATAGGCTCCATGCATGTCGCAATCTTTATGGTCCTTCCCAATTACTAAATGTTTGAATTTTACTACATACTATTTTGGGATGAAAGTGTCAATATTTTGTTACAAAGGTTTCCAAGGGATCTGTTCAAAACCTGAAACAACAGCACTATCAATCTTCACTTAACCAAAGAAAAAAAAAAAGCACAACTGCAAAATTGCGCTTTGGTATGAATACGTATATACCTAGCTATAGGATATGTGAAAACAAAAGGCAAAAAAAAAAAAAAAAAAAAAAAAAAAAAATCAAAATCAATTTTTAGGAAAATATAAAACAAATACAAAGAACTCTTTGGTCTGTTTTCACTTGCACTCTAAACTTTTGAGCGTCTTCGATGACAGATCGAATGCAATGGAGCAGTCCATGGTGGAAGCCTTCTTCTTTTTCATTATTAACATCAATTCAACCTTTCCGGTCAAACTAGCCGTGCTATTGAGAGTTAACACCCCGGAGCTCAATTCATTCCCAAGATTGGAACCCGTCAGTGCATTCGAATTCAAGCTCACCTCGACGTTCACTTTTTTGGTGGAAAGCATTCCAGCCTTGCTCTTCGGAATAACCACTTGTCCGACAGCAGCTCCTTGGTACAAAAACGTGACAGTGCTAGCATCAAACTTGTAAGGACCCCAGTTTGTGTTCTTGATCTTGATTTGGGTTGTGAATTTCGTGTCGAATGAAGGTGTTGCCGGGAAGGAGTTGAGTTCTTGGATGTTGATGTTGCCTAGCCTGACCTTCGGGGTCTTAACTTTCATAACAGTAAGACTAATCACGGTTATGACAATAATTTGAAATACAATGAAAATTGCAACATAAATGGCTAACTTGATTCTCTTCTTGCGTTTGAGCTCGTCAGCTGATTGCAAAGACTCAGCATCACTTCTTTGGTAACCATTGGTTGCGGGGACTGAAGGATAAACCTGTTGGGTCTTATCAGCCATCTTAATTGCTTTTGCTGAATAAAAGCTTCGAAAGAAAAATGATCTGTTTGGTTTCTCTCTTTTTCTATGTTAAAATATGAACTGATGAGCAAATGTGTTGCTTGTGTGAATGTTTGTTGTGTGGAGCTTGGTATATATATAGTGTTTTGGATAGTGAGTTAACTAGAGGCATCAGCGGTGTTAATAATTTTCTGGAAAATGGAACCATAACGTGCAAATAATTTCTTTGTATTTTATTGACTTGTAGTTGTAGACTTGTAACACTCCAGTAGATGATTGAGAATATGATTAGAAACCTGTTCATTATAGTATTATATAATAGGGATTAGGCTTATTTGTTGATTTGTTCCTTTAAACTGTCATGTAATCCCATTTTAATCGCTGAAATTGATTTTGTCTTCCTTTGCCTCCTAAAACAACTATTTTCATCTCATTTAGTCTCGATTCATCCATTTTTATACATTCCATCAAATAAACGTTAAATTAGAGAGTAGTGTGGACATTTCATTATTGAAAGTGAAATAGCTCTTTGCCTCCAACATATATGCCCCCTAAAACAATCTCACAACTCTAATTCAAACTCATGTCCATCTCTCTTTCGGATTGGTGCGAAGCTGTAGCCATTGGCAAAAGTAAATAATAGGTTGTGTTTTAAAATCGAATCCAACGGCTTCAACTACAACTCTACACCAATCTGCCAAAAAAAAAGGCGCAAAAGATACGGATGGGGGCTTGAATTTGAGTTATAAAAAAAATGGAGTTTGGATTGTTTTCGCAAATAAGTTGGAGGCAAAGAGTTGTGTCAAAAATAAAATGTCGATACTAATCTTTAATTCAACATCTATTTGATAAAATGGACAAAAATTAGATGAACTGAGAATAATGAGACGAAAATAGAAATTCAAATGGTCGAAATGAGATAAAACTAATTCTACAAAATAAAATAAGACTAAATGTCAATTTATGAAGCAAAATCAAATAATAAACCAATAATAGTATATGTATTCAACACAAAACAAATAAGGGTTTCTCCAAGTGTGACAGAGTCAAAGCTAGAAGTAGATATTTTTATTTTCATTTTTTAGCTATTTAATTATTTCCACTGTAAGAAGAAGAGTACGGGCTGGTTTGGTATTGCTGTGCTTTGAAAAAAAACTGATGTGAGAATAAGCGGCTGTGCTGTGAGAATAAGCGGATGTGAAATAAATCAGCAGAGTGTTTGGTAAACTTTTTTGTAAAAGTGCTTTTGGAAAAAAAAAGCAGCCTGATAGTGGGTCTTTTCATTAAAGGAGCACTGTAGCTCCATGTGTTTTGAAAAAAAACCAGTTTTCCAAAGCTGCAAATAGCAACTTCAGTTTTTTCCTTTGATTTCAGCTTATTCTCACAGCAGCTTCCAAAATAAGCCTTTTTTTTTTTCAGTTTACCAAACATCTAAAACCCTCATAGCTTTTTTTCATGGGTGCTTTTTTTTTAAGCACTTCACTCTCAAACCACCCTTACGTCAAGTGAATTACTATTCTACAGGGAACCTATTAGACCATCTAGAAGGCGAGTAAGTCAAAGACTGCTAACCGTCTGCGCTTATGGTCTTTACCTTAGACCATCTAGAGCACTACAAAAACATGTATCTGGCACTGGTGGCAACTAGAGCACTATTGGTCCCTCCACATCATAATATATGCGTTAACAAAAAATACACGACCGGGCAGGGTATTATTTTTCTTTTCCTTTCGATGATTTCATCTCAATATGTTTTATATATCCTATTAGCCATGTGTCCACACGCTATGCGTTGTGTTATTAAATTTAATCTATCAATTTGCTATGACTTATATTTATATCAATTTTTTTAGGCAAATTTTTTTTAATAAAGAAAATTGGCTTTGAAGAAGTTGGGGTGGGTGTGGAGGTTTTGAAAGTGGGGACGTGGGCGGTTGAGTTTTATTTTTATTTCTGTTTATTCTTTTTTTTTATTTGTTATAGTAGTATTTTTATTTGTTATAGTATTTTTATTTGTTGTTTGACATAATTATCCATACTCAATTAACTAATTTTTTTTTTTAAATTTGGTTATTTGTAGAGGGGTATAATTGTATTTTCATGCGTTTTTGGTTGAGAAGAGGTATTGTCTTAGTAACAGTACGGTTGGTGAGGCTTCAATTAGTTAACACAACTAGTAAGACTAGACTATCTCTAATTCAAGGATAGGAAATTACAAAAGCACCATATTTTTATTATTAATATATATGAGGTTAGTCCGTTTTTCCATCCAAGATAATGGACCTGTTATCTCCACCTCTAAGACCATCTCTGTAACATCCCACATCGCCTAGGGGAGCGATCTTTAAATGTATATTCTCATTCCTACCTAGCACGAGGCATTTTGAGAGCTCACTGGCTTCGGGTTCCGTCGGAACTCCGAAGTTAAGTGAGAAGGGGGCTAGAGCACTCCCATGATGAGTGACCCACTGGGAAGTTGCTCGTGAGTTCCTAGAAACAAAATCGTAAGGGCATGGTCAGGGTCCAAAACGGACAATATCGTGCTACGGTGGTGGAGCGGGGCCGGGAAGTGGTCCGTCCCGGGCCGGGATGTGACAATTGGTATCAGAGCCAATCCCTGGCTGGAAGTGTGCCGACGAGGACATCCGCCCCGGGCCGGGATGTGACAATCTCCAACCTTTATATTAAAACCTAAAATTTTTAGCCTAGAAAATTTAGGTTTTAACCCAGAAACAGGTTTTTTTGCTCCAACCCTTTTGGGTTAAAATTTTAGCCCAAATTATTAACGAATGAATTTAGCCTAATTTTTTTCTTGAAGTAACTTTTTTAAAAGAAAAATTTATGTAGACTATCCTAATTTAATTTTATGAATATTTTAACGTAAAAATATTTAGATTCTGACAAATATTGAAAAATCACTAACCGACACCATGAAACTCGTTAAACACTATGAAAAAACATAAAACACATAAAAAAAAAAATTTAATTACTTTAGCCGTTAGATTTAAATTTGGACCGTTAAATATTTTTGTTTTACCGTTGAATTTCATCAAATTAAATCTTAACCGTTGGATTCAATGAATTTATAAATATAAAACTAAAAAAAAAATATACATATATGGTGGATCAACCCCACTAACCCTGGGGGGAATTCTGGGCAGTTTGTTAAGCTTTTTGTATTTTAAGGGGAAAGAGAGCAGATCTCCTCTACAAGAATAGAGAGTAAGAAAGTCTCTTTAATCTTTCTTGTTTGCTAACAATTTTGGAATTAATTTTTGTATTATCTATCTTTTTTCTGACAAAGGTTTTGATGTAAAAAAATTTCAAATTTCAAAAAAAAAAAAAAAATTTATTGATTACACACAAATGGATGGGTATATTATAGAGTTTTGGTATTAGATCTGATTTGGAATATTAATAATATTATTTTGACGATTATATTTAAATCTAAGTTGTAAACACCCGTCCCTAATTTTACAATTTTATTAATTTTGAAAGAGTGAATTGACGAAAATGCCCCTAATGGTGATGTGTTATTGATTTTTGTTGACTGTTATTTCATGATGCGTATGAGCTATTATTTTACCGTATTCTTGAAGTACTCAATGGTACGATCGCGTGGGCACAAGCAAATTTGAACTTGAAGCTACGATGGAGATTGTACGAACTTACGAAAGCAAAGGGTATTTTAGTAAATTCACTATCCTATATAATTGGCCTAAGTTATTTTATTATTTTCCTTTCAAATTTTGTTTAGTACCCATGCCCACCACTCACTCTCTTCCACGTGGGATTTTCCTCCTCACACATCCGGACCCCCTCTCTCTTCTATATTTTTTTCCCTCACATCTTTCCCACTCTAACTTTCTCCCTCTCCGGAAATCACACATCACCACCTCCGCCGAAGCCACGCGGTGGAGACCGCACCAACCACCACCACCTTAAGACCCTCCTAGTCTTGATCTCAAACTAGGCCGAGGCCCTTCTCTTTCATTCTCTCTCTACACAATGGCACCATCACTGTGCATATTTTCCTCTGGCGAGCTTTTGAACTTCCGACAATGGTAAGTTCCAAAACCACCTAAAATTTCTTGGATCGTGTTTTGGTATATGTTTCTAGCTTTTCGAAGGTCTTTAGCTTTGGTGCAGAAATCAACTCGAGGAAACTTCCCTAGTTTTTCAACGAGAGCCACGATTTTTGGAGGTGATTTTCAGGCCTCTCTAGCCACCTATTTTACTTGGGTAAGGTAGATTCAATTTCCTCGCCCTTTTTATCTTTATTTTGGTTTAATTTTGGAGTGAAATGGCTAAAAATCGAGCTCGATCACAACTCCAAAAGTTTCCCAGCCAAACCAGCCCGAAGAAAACGAAAAGGTCCAAATCCAACTCGGACCCACGAGTCTGACCCCTGTCCATTTTTGAAATCAAAGGGAATATTCCTTTAGATATTCTGTTAACTCCGAGATAACTTTAACGGAATATCTGTCTGAGGGTGGAATATTCCATTCAAGTTAACTTTTGACAATTAGTTGACTTTTTCAAAATTTTCTCGAAAATCCTTCAAGGTTAATTTCGATGCCCTAAGTCCCTTTTTGACATCCGTTTAGTGAAATTTCAAAGTTTTAACATAGTTGACAGTCAGGGTGGCCCGGTTGACTTTTTAGGGTTGACCGTTGATTTTTCGTTGTCTTTTTACGAAAATTGCCCATGACCCTACGTAGCGTATTTCAACGCCCTAATTTCAAATATGCACTCCGTTTTCTCAAATTTAATCGTTTTAGTTGAGTTTTACTAATGAGACCCAATATTATTCTTAGGTGTGATTACTATCAGAGACTCCAACTTCTCCAATCCGAACGGCTGTGACCTCGTAAGTATCTGTGAGTGGTCTTTTCTTTTATATAGCTTATATATTAATTTAGTTTCCATATATATATATATATATATATATATCTATATATATATATTTAATAATGAATTTTCTACGTGATTGCCATAATTAAATTAATGTTTATAAGAAATGTCGTAATGTTGAGAATTATGAAATTATTTTGAATCCTACAAGATGCATATGTATGCGTACTATTATGGGATGCCTTTATATATGCAGCATGAATAGTGCTATGTTGACTAGAATTACCGATTTACTGTTGCATGATCATATTTACATTATCTGCTCATCGTGTGCTGTACTGGTGTTAGTACTCATCCGAGAGCTAGGGCTAGTCTTTCACGTGTATGTTCACATTGCACTGTTTGCTCACTTTGGATCCATTGTAGTTGTCAGTCTTGTCCTAGATTGCTATAGGCAATTATGGCTCGTATGTGATGTGTATAGCGCTAGCCTTCACGTGATTGTGGTACCATAACGTACATCTACATGAACTCGTGTGTCAGCATGTGTTAATGAGCACTCAATATGATAGGTTTGCTTATTTGAGATTATGTGATTACGGACGTCATGTGTTTATTTACAAAAGTGTGTGGCGTATTGCATTCTTGAGATACTGCTGGCTATGGTAAGTATTTTCATACTATACGTAGTATGTTATATTTAAAAACTATACTTGTTTTATGACAAAGAGTTATTATATTTTCGAAAAGGTTTTACAAAACTTTATTTTTAGGCCCACTCACCCATTTCGACCCTCCATGTTTAGTAGCAGAGCTTTTGTGACGACGAGGATTCTGTGCTGGTAAAGGTGATTACCTTTGATGGTATAATTTTTATCCTACCTTTACTGTACTTTTCTTATGATCTGACATCACATGTGAATTGGGTTCAATCCTGCTCACATGCGCACTCTTACATTTAGGCACTTTAGATTTAAATTTATTCACTTTTTTCACATCACTATACTTTATGATTTCGTCACCTTCCTGATGTCAGCCAACACAGCTCGATTCGAAGTCTAAGTGGACATTCCGGATCAGGATGTGTTATAAGCCGTTGAATCTTTTTTATTACCGTTAAAATTTATTAAATTGGATTTGAGCCGTTGAATTTAAAAGTAATCTAAGAGGCGCGACAACTGATAGATGTTAACGGTCATGAAATCACATTGGCACATTTCATCCTACCGTATGCTGCAGCAAACTAGATCATCCCCACGTCAGTAGAACTGACGCGTGGGCCCTGCCTGTCCCCATTTTTCACATGGGTTTGTTGCAACAATGGGCCGCATTTTCCACCCAAAATCTTATTGACCCGGGATGGATACACAACCCAAATACCAACTCTCAATCCCAAAATCTTGTTTTTCCCACCCCAAAATACACACCTTAGAGAGGAAATATACCCAAATTATGAGATTTTATTTTCCCACACTTGGGTTAGAGCCAGTCTAAATAGACTCCAAAAACTGCTTCTTCATGTTTTTGTTAACTTAGCTACTAAATAGACTCCAAAAACTATTTTGTCCAACGAGTTTAACTTAAGCATAAACATTTTCAAGAGACTCCTTATAGTTTCGTTACTTTAGCTAGTAAATAAACTCCAAAAATTGTTTTGGTTAGCCAGTTAAACTTAGCATCAACAACTATTCTAACAAACTTTGAATATTTTATTATTCTTGAAAATAGTTTAATATTTTTAATTTTACCTCAAAAATATTTTTAGTGCTTTCTTTAAGTTAAATTCTCTCGCCTTTAGCTAAATTTAGCTAGTTAATTACTATTTCTGTAATTTAGGTTAAACGCTTACGGAATGACTATTCCTATAAGTTAAATTCATAGACTAGTGACACATTCTTTAAGGATGCATCGTAGCATGAAGCGTGACAGAAATATTGTTGCTCAAGACATGAGCTCTGCTTACACCATTGATATGATCGTTGCCATGTGGATTCTCCGGCACATCAAGAGGGTTTAGATTTTAGCCTCATGATGTGCCACTAATCTTATTATGCTTCCCTGTTTGCTTATTCTGATGCTGATTGGATGAGTTGTCTGCATACACTACGTTCCACTACCAGTTATCTTGTCCATCTTGGATCCAATTTCATCTCATGGTGTTCCAGGGAAAACAACTGACTATTTCTCTATCTAGTGTGGAATCGGCCAAGTATACACTTGCTCATGCATGCCAAGACGACATTAATTTTACTTTGTTTTTTGTGAACTTGGTGTTTGGTTGTCCTTCCCAATTCCCCATTGTGACAACCTCAGTGCCACCTACCTTGTTGCCAATCTGGTTCATCATGCCCACATGCCACATTAAACATGATTACCACTTTGTTCGTGAAAAAGTAGCTTTTGGGTAGTCATTGGGTTTGTTATAGCTCCTCTGCTAATCAACTCGCTGACCTTCTCACCAATGCTCTTCACAAGCCATGCCATGAGCTTCTCTGTTTCAAACTCGACCGAATGACTTGTCCAGTTTGCGTAGGAGGACTGCTACAATTGAAATAGTATCTCCAAATTCTTCTCCATTATTATAGTTTTCCTTATATAATTGTAAATCTTAATTGTACTTATTATATTCTTGCCATAATAAGTTAGAAGCACGGCATATATATATATACAGATTGCTTAAGGGAAGGGATCCCTATTTTTTGAAAAAAATGGGGATCCCGTGTGGGGCCCACTTCACATCGAATTTCAACGATTCGAACCGTCTATTTTGTTAGTCTCGATTCATAGATCATCCTCGCAAAAATTCAATTCAATCCGAAACCATTTGCCTATTTAATTATCAAGATCAAATTTCATTGTTTCTTATATAACAAAGTATTCGTTCATTTCCTTGAACCCAATTAGATGTCTTAAACATTTCCGATTTAGCTAATATTTTATAAGGATGATCTATGAATCGAGACTAACAAAATAGACGGTTCGGATCGTTAAAATTCAATGTGGAGTGGGCCCCACACCTAATCCCCATTTTTTTCAAAAAATGAGGATCCCTTCCCTTAAGCAATCTGTATTGTAACATATTCACAATAAACAGTACAAAGAATCATAATTCAACACGATGATTTTTTACTGAAACATAGAAAACAAGACAAATAAATGGGCATAGCAACACTTTTTGTGTTTATATAACCTTGTTGAATCAGTGCTATGTTTTAAGTGGCCTGTTTAGAAGTTCCCTTAATATTAAAGATATAGAAAGTTCGAAGTTTTTTTTTTTATTATTGAATTTGTAATCGTACATCAAAGTCCTCGTTTGGTATTGCTGTGCTTTGAAAAAAAAACTGCTTCTGGTATACTGGGAGAATAAACAGCTGTGAAATAAAGCAGTAGTGTTTGATAAACTTTTTTGTAAAAGTGCTTTTGGAAAAAAAAATAAGCAGTATTATAATGTTTAGTAAACTTTTATGTAAAACAGCTGTGACTGTGTGAAATGACCAAAAAAGGTATAACACTAGATGTGCCATTAATTTAATTTTCTTAACAAATAAAGGTGAGTTATTAAATATACTTTTTTTTTAAAAGAAAATTATTTATAAACTTTATCTTAAACATATAATCCAACTTTTAACAAGAAATCATAATCCAACGTCAACAAGAAATCATAATCCAACGTCAACAAGAAATCATAATCCAACATTCAACATACAATCAAACATTTATGTTGTTTCACATTTTTAGCTTTTTTCAAAGCTCATTTTCGCTGCTTCACGTTTTCAGCTTTTTTCATCAAAAACTGTGAAAATAAGCTGTTTTTAAGTGTTTACCGAACACGTTTTTGAGCTTAGCTTTATTTTATACTCATTTTTTTTATAAAAGTACCTCCGTACCAAACCAGTACTAAGTCGATCGGAACTTGTTTGGTAAAATCACAGGCGGAGCTAATGCATGCTTACATTGCCTAGTAGGGGCAGCTGCGCTCACTTGGAAAATTAGTGTAGGCTTTGTCCCATAATTTGGAGTGGCAAATTGAAAATTATATAACCTGTTAGGAAAAGCAGCGAGGAAGCCACATGTGTGGCCCAGATTAAAAGAAAGAAGATAAAGGAGGGAAATGGATGGATGGCATAAAAAGAAGAGGAGAGAAAGGAGAGAGACGCCCAATCAGGAAGCAAAAAAAGGAAAGAAAGGACGGGGAACAGGCAAATCAGACAAGAGAGAAAGGAGGGAAAATGAGGGAGAGCATAGCACTAAATCTTCTTGACCCGTTTCGACCCGTGCGACCCGGCGCTATTGATTTCCGATGCCTTTCAAGGTGTTTTTCGAGCTTTCCTCAACCAACCACCACCTAAGAATAACTACATGGCCTTCCCTCTCCCATTTACACCTAAATTCCATTTCGTTTGACCCCCAAATCACTAAGAACAAACTGTACAGGTTCATGGGTGCACAGCGGCGAATCCATTAGTCCTGTAATGATTTCCTTCGATCTCCACAACCATTACACTCTCCTTGAACCCAAGAACAAAGCCCAAACAACCTTGGAGGTGGGAGAGCACCGGAGGCGACGGATCGAAACCACCCATTTCTAAGGTTTCCGGCAGGTTCGTGGCGAATTGAGGCTTTTCCCAGCCAAATTAGTCTTAGTCACATGTATGAAAGTTGCTCCACTCATTGAGATCTTCATTCTTGTAAAATTTGGGAATTTTGGAGTTGTTCGATTTTCTAGTGAATCGAGGTGGTCAGCCGCCACGCATGGCAGTGCGTGAGGGAAAACCCCAAGGTCCTTCCTTAGGTTCCTCGACGTGCCAAATCCGAATCCACCATCCGTTTTCCCAAATTCTAATGTTTTAGTAGAGTTTTACTCAAGGGTCCATAATTGTGTTTATGCGTATTGGCGGGAAGCGACATCATCCTATCTAGCTCGAGTGGTTCTCAGGCAATAAAATCTGTGAGTGGACCCCTTCTTAAACTATATATTTTATAAATATTAGCCTAGCATGCATGATTTATTTCACGATTTGAACGTGATTTATATTATGGATTTATATTATGGCTTTATAGATTTCTATACTTATGGTTTAAGTGAAATTAAGATTTACGAAGGTTATTATTTATCTAACCTACATTTCACTAAAGGTGATGAATTATGGATTTACATACAAAAATTATATGGCTTTCAAACATGATTTATATTATGGATTCATGAGATGACGCTTTGAGTTTTGATGAGCTCTGGTTTTGATATGAGATTTTGAGTTATGTTTTTGGTACTTACCTAGTGTGTTATCATACGGCACATCTAGACACCATGGGTATAGATGTTTATGGCCATAGGACACAGATGATGGATGAGTGAGTTATGATATACATTATACTCCTAGCTTTACTGCCGAAGGCGGTGTTGGACAGCTTCATTAGCCACTGCTAGTGTCGGTGTGGATGCTTTGCTATTTAATTTAGCTTCACCTACGGGTGATGGACAAGTTATTCAGCTTCACGTTCGGGTGATGGACAAGTACTGCATTCGGGCGATTATGATACGCCTAGTTAAGTACCTCATTGATGAGATTTACGGATTTGCCTTCAGGCGACATTTTCAGCATTATTGAGCATGGTTTTACACGTACATGTTTTACAAAGGTTTTGCGTGGCATACTATGGTTTTCATTAAACCTATATGTAGTACTATATATGTGTTTTCAAAACAGGAGGTTACTATGTTCATAAAGAAAACTGTTTTTTATTATTAATATTATTATTATAAACTTTGGTCCACTCACCTTTTCTGTTTTTGCACCCCCTCAAGAGTTAGGATCGAGGCACATGATCCCAGCGTCAAGGTACTTCAACTTAGTTATTGTGACACCCCGTCCTAGAATAAAATTTTATCGATGACATGAGATGACTATTCTGCCCTTGGACGTTTTGTGTGGTGGTGTGGTAGGTTAGAATTTGGACCAATTAGTGCTAGGTCCTATTATTTTGGAACCAATTAAGACTTAGATGGTATTTCTTTGGTTTTGGTTGTTGACCCACGTGTGCCCCACACACACACACACACACTTACTCTCTCTCTCTCCCTCTCTCTCTCTCTCTCTTTCCTCATGGATTTTTCTGAAAATCTGTAAAATTGTACAGACGAACTTGGAACCAACCATTTCATGCACGGGTCGACGTTAAGAAGGTAAGATTTGAACTCCTTGCAAGTCTCTGAGTTCATATAGACCATTTTTAGATCTTAAAACCTTTAAAAACCTCTAGAACTTGAACCCTATATTTCATGCACTGTTCATGCACTAATTAATGTGAAGTTTTTAGGAGTTTTTAAGGACATAGAGAGCTTTGAATCATCCTCACGAAGCTCAGAATTATCGAGCTCTCTCCAGCAAGTTTTTGTTGATTTCAAGCCTTGAAATTGGTAAGGATGTGTTCTTCTAGTTATAAGCTTTAAATTGAGACCAATTTCATGAGTTTTGGTTAAGATATGACTGAGATACAAGGTTTTAAAGTTTTTCCCAGTTTTCGGTAACAGCGACGGTCGCCGGAGTTCGAAGGTACGGGATGATGGAATATTCCTAACCACGTTGGTTAGTTTTAACGGTTTCTGTTACTTTTTAACTGAATATTCCTAATGGGGTTAGGGGATTCTGTTAGGGTCCCTGCGCGTAGGGCCGTGCCCTTGCCGGCCCGTGAGGGCTCCAAAATTATTTTAAAAATTTGGGTGTGTTCGTGTAGTTGTGTAGGTCACAATGGTATATTTATATACCTCATTTGAGCAATGTATGAGAAGTTATTAGCTAGTATTGGTTATGTGCTTTAAATAACGTTTATTCAGTTATTTCACATATAGGTGAGACCTATCTCAAGGACAAGCACAGTCAATGACGACTCGGGGGCTACGACCCTTCGACCTACCAGTGAGTGGCCTTTTGGTTTTAATATATATGTATATGCTTGGTATTTTCCCAGAAAATGCATTTAAATGAGTTATGATTTAAATTGCCATGCCTAATGTTTTATATTTAGAAAATTCATATGATGTTTGCATATATATATATATATATATATATATAATTGTGGTGTTGAGGACGCTCAGGTAAGTCCCAGGTGAGTTTATGAATTGTGAATGTGAATAATGGTTGTGATTAATTGAGAAACATTGAGCTCATGAACCTGCACCTTGATGTTAGTGATTTAGCCAGAGATATGGCACATGCATGTATATAATGTCACCTCCCGCACCATATGCTCACATTGGATCCAATTTAGGTGCACAGTCTTGTCGTATAAACCATTATAGGTGGTTCCGACTCATAGGTGACTAGCGATTTATCGCACAGCTATCATGAGAAAGTAGCATTGAGCATAACTATATTACACCCAGTCTTGTCACATAGACCCTTCCAATGGTTCCGACTCGTGTGCAATGTAGTGTCGTATAGGTCACCTGTAGTGACTCCGGTTAGAGTGACTAATGAGCTATGAATTCAGCCGTATAGACTTCTGCAGGGGTTCCGACTAATATGTTATTTTCCATGAATTTATTTTCACTTGAGTTACTTATTCTGTTTTATATTTGGCATGGCATACTTATGTTTATGGATATGTGAAGCATGATTTGAATATATATATATATATATATATATATATATATATATATATATATATATATTTCTAGGAAAATTATACATGTTTTACGGCGAGGGGTTAGAGTGTTTGTTAATGAAATGATTTTGTGCCCCTCTAGGTTTTAGGTAGACTTGATGTTGGTGGCATTTGAGGATCTCGGCGGTTCTGACAGCATATAATATTCGTAAGATATCTTTTGGTACTGTATAACTAGTACTTGTCCTACTAGACTGCACCTAGACTTTCTATGCTCTGATTAGGTGCATTTACACTTGTATCTCATTCCTAGCACTTCCTACTTATTAGTGCACATTAGTTAGCTTTCAGTTTTTATTTATTCGTATATTTCTTATCCTTATCGCTTCCGCACTATGCACATGGCTACGTCACCCTCACGTGACGGCCAGCACACCTTGATTTTAGGTCGGGGTGTGTCAGTTATCCTCGAGTCTTCTTGGCGTAGGTTTCATTTCCTTGTTCATATCTTTTTATAGTCATTCTTTCATGTTATTCTTAGTTGGTAGTATGCTCTAATCACATTCCTACTTTGGTATAATCGTTCTAATTACATACAGTTTAATTATGTGCTTGTTTAAAATGGTTTTGTCACCATCGGGTGTCGGTTAGCACGTGCTTACCTTGATATTTGGGGATATCGGGGTTGGGGCATGTCATCCCGCTTCCCATTTTTGGCACCCGCCCAAATTTAAGGATTTTGCGTGACGAAATATTATTAAATTTTGCTTCGTCGTGTAAAATTTATTAAAATAATTTTTACTATAGAATTTAAAATAAAAAATTAAATACAAAATAAAATAAACAAAGTTTATGCAACGAAATATCAATATTCGTCGTGCAAAATTTAAAAAAATGATAAAAAAGAAAAAAAATTAGTTTAACAATATAAAATATAAAATTAAATAAATAGGGTTTAGGTGACGAAATATTAATATTCATCACGCAAAGTTTTAAAAAAATAATAAAATCTATGAAAATAAATTTATTTCATAATTTAAATAAAAAAGAAAATAAATTGGGTTTAGGCACGAAATATTTGGATTTCGTCGCGCAATGGTTTTAAATTTTTTATTTTATTTTATCTCCTCTGTAATCAACTCGCAGACCTTTTCACCAAGGCTCTTCACAAACCATGCCATGGTCTGAACAAACATGTCCTGCGTAGGAGGATGCTACAATTGAAATAGTATCTCCGAATTCTTCTCTGGTATCATTGTTTTCCTTGTATAATTGTAAATCCTAATTGTACTTATTATATGATTCTTGCCATAATAAGTTAGAAAACAAGACAAATGAATGGGCATAGCAACGCTCATTGTATTTGTAGAACCTTGTTGAATCAATGCTATGTTTTAAGTGGCCTCTTTAGAAGTTCCCTTAATATCAAAGATACAAAAAGTAAGAGGTTTTTAGTTTTAAATTGAAATTGTAATCGTACTTCATAATTAAAGTCTTAGTCGATCGGAAATTGTTTGGTAAAAATCACGGGCGGAGCTAATGCACGCCTAGTGTGTGCAGGCTGTGCAGATGCGCTCACTTGGAAAAATAGTGCAGGCTTTGTCCGATTAATTTGGAGTGGCAAATTATAGAACCCGAGCGTAGTAAAACCTCCACTTAGAAAAGCAGTTGAGGCTTTGTCCCAATTGTAATTTCATAATTTAACCATATTTAGTTGATTTTTTTACGCTCCATATGAGTAATTAAAATTTTGGCTCTGTTAGTGATAAAAATCAGCCTTAGTAAAACAAATGACAACATCAAGTGATTCAAAAACCAAAAGCAGCATTATAAACAACGTATGTATGTAGGAAATATAAAGATCAATGAATTAAACAAGCCAATAACTAGTCTTGATCACTGGCAAAGATGTAGAGTACTAGTACTAACTCTAATGCCAATTAGCTACTCTGTTTTCACTTGCATTGCAAACTTTTGAGCGTCTTGGCTGACAGATCAAATGCAATGGTGCAGTCCATGGTGGAAGACTTCTTCTTCTTCATTATAAGCATCAGTTCAACCTTTCCAGTCACCTTAGCCGCACTGTTGAGAGTCAACACCCCGCTGCTCAATTCACTGCCAAGATTAGAGCCGCTTAATGCACTCGAACTCAAGCTCACATCGACGTTCATTTTTTTGGTGGAAAGCATTCCAGCCTTGCTCTTTGGAATAACGACTTGCCCAACAGCTGCGCCTTGGTACAGAAACGTGACAGTGCTTGCATCAAACTTGTAAGGACCCCAGTTTGTGTTTTTCACCTTGATTTGGGTTGTGAATTTTGTGTCGAATAAAGGTGTTGCCGGGACGGAGTTGAGTTCTTGGACGTTGATGTTGCCTAGCCTGACCTTAGGGGTCTTAACTTTCATGACAGTGAGACTGATCACAGTTATGACAATGATCTGAAACACAATGAAAACACCGACATAAATGGCCAACTTGATTCTCTTCTTGCGTTTGAGCTCATCGGCTGATTGCAAAGACTCTGCATCACCTCTCTGGTAACCATTTGCCGGTGCCAAGGGATAGGCCTGGTTGGTTTTCTCAGCCATGTTTCTTTTGTTTTCTGGTATGAAATGGGGAGGAAACTTTCCCTGCTTTTGTTTCGTGGGTTCGGTTTTCTTGGATTAAACTTGATAGTTGAGGAAGTTGTTTGTGGAAATATTGGAATAGTAACGTGCTATATAGTGGTTGAATTGTGAGTGACTCTTTGGAAATTTACCCAGGACCCTTCTAAGGGTAATTCAATGTCCTGAATCTGTTTTTGACGTTAGTTTTCTCAAATTCAATCGTTTGAGTATAGTTTTGGTAATCGTACTCTTTATATGCTTAGGTGCAATTTCTAGCGGCGATTCTGTTATTCCTATTTGTACGGTTGTGCACCAACGGTGTAAGGTGAGTGGACCCCTTCTAAAATGCATTTTTTTATAGTAGAAATGCATACATGAAAAGCATGATTTAATGATTATATTTTATGAAATGTTTTGATGAGATAACATGCTTATTGAGGCTAGTTTGAATTATTACTATTTTTCTTATACCGTGTTTTTTATAGAATATCTGATGGATGACGATATAATATTTAGAACATGTTTCGAACAACTCTTTATAGTATAGATGATGGATGACTTTATACCATGAAGTTACTATTCAAATATATGTATGTTCAATGGTTTTGTACTTACCTAGTGGTCCCTATTCTGCTACGGGGCGAGGGATAGATTCCGCCACGGGCAAGGTTACTATGTTGGCATAGGGCCTGAAAAAATAATCTCTAACTATGGGTTGATAGACACGGGAAGTTGACACGGGACCTGAAGGTGATTTTCCTCTGGCCATTGGCATAAGGACGAGGAGCTGGCACGGGGCTTGGAGTGAGATTGGACATTCACTAGCGATTACTATATATACGAGATATGTTTTGAGACATTGCATGGCATGCTAGGTTTCGGAAAACCTTATTTTTATTTATCATGCTATATGTGTTTTCATAAAACCTAGGGGGTTAGTATGTTGATAACTGTTTCAGTATTATTATATATATCAACTTGGTCCACTCATGTTTGTTTTGTGCCCCCTTCAGGAATTAGAATCGAGGTGTACAATCCCGGCTTCAAGGCACTTCTGCATCGGCATCTTCGAGTCCTTTCAGTGTAGGACCCATCCTTTGTTTCATTCAATTTTATACTATTTCTTTTAGTGTTATAGTTAGTTGTATGCTCTGAACACGTTCCTTAAACGCATATTCATTATATTTAAATTTATAAGTCTGATTTATTTCTTGTTCTCAACATTTACATTCAAGAAATGGCTTTCGTCACCCTTCAGGTGTCGGCCAACACATGCCTATCCTGGTGTTCGGGGAATATTGGGAATCGGGGTGTGTCACAAATGATGTCTCCTAAGACGTTTTGCACACATATAAATGGTAGTAGATTAAATTGTAATCTTACTGGCTTATGGAACCGTTGAATATATATGCCTAAAATGTAGTAAGTACAAACTAAAAAAAAAGAAAAAAAGAAAAAATAGGGCATCATATTTAAAAAATAAGTACAGCAATAATAATGTATTCCTGCAGAAAATACACTAAACTCACAAAGAGTGAAAAAAAATGAAAAAATAACAAATCAAGAATTAATATGGATCTCGCAAGTCTGATCACTTGCACTGCAAACTTTTGAGCGTCTTTGATGACAAATCAAATGCAATGGTACAATCCATGGTGGAAGATTTCTTCTTCTTCATTATCAACATAAGTTCAACCTTTCCTGTCAACTTAGCCGCGCTGTTGAGAGTCAACACCCCGCTGCTCAATTCACTGCCAAGATTGGAACCGCTTAATGCACTCGAACTCAAGCTCACATCCGCGTTCATTTTTTTGGTGGAAAGCATTCCAGCCTTGCTCTTTGGAATAACTACTTGCCCAACAGCCGCGCCTTGGTACAGAAACGTGACAGTGCTTGCATCAAACTTGTAAGGACCCCAGTTTGTGTTTTTCACCTTGATTTGGGTTGTGAATTTTGTGTCGAATGAAGGCGTTGCCTGGGACGGAGTTGAGTTCTTGGACGTTGATGTTGCCTAGCCTGACCTTAGGGGTCTTAACTTTCATGACAGTGAGACTGATCACAGTTATGACAATGATCTGAAATACAATGAAAACACCGACATAAATGGCCAACTTGATTCTCTTCTTGCGTTTGAGCTCATCGGCTGATTGCAAAGACTCTGCATCACCTCTCTGGTAACCATTTGCCGGTGCCAAGGGATAGGCCTGGTTGGTTTTCTCAGCCATGTTTCTTTTGTTTTCTGGTATGAAATGGGGTGGAAACTTTCCCTGCTTTTGTTTTGTGGGTTCGGTTTTCTTGGATTAAACTTGATAGCGGAGGGAGTTGTTTGTGGAAATATTGGAAGAGTAGCGTGCTATATATAGTGTTTGGAGTTTGGCCCATTTTCAATGAGTTAAGAGGGGGAATGTATTTCCAGGAAATCGCGAGTTGGGGTAAGAATTTTATTGCTGACGCCAAACGCGTCCAAAGCCGAATGTGAAAACTTACTTTTGACTTCTAGATGATGGATGAGTTTTGAGAGGACTTTTAGCATATTAATCATCAAGAGAAGCTTCGATTCTATCCGTTGGCATACACCACATCTCCCAAATGGCAGGTGAGATTGTGAATCATTACTCTATAATAATCACCCTTCACTAATCAAATTGTTTATAGTATTATCATGATTTATATCTTCTTAATTTGATTGATTCTGTTGTCCAATAAGGTTTCCTCTTCAATTTATTGCTTGTGAACCATCATAAGCAAGAATTTCAAAACTCTTGAAGACTAAAAGTTTCGGTCCTTTAGAGCAGAGGGATTAATATAAATTATGAAGATAATAGATGCGAATACAAAGCTATCACTACTACTACTACAAAAAAAAAAAAAAAAAAAAAAAAACTTTGCGTGACGAAATAAGATTTGCTGTACAAAGTATGAATTCATCGCTCAAAGCCTTGCGCGTCGTTAATGGTTCATCGCGTAAAGCTCTTGAAGATAGGGTTTGTACGACGAAAATTAATCTTCGTCACACAAAGTTTTTGGTTTTTTTTATATTTTATTAAATGGAATTAATTTAATATTTTGGGCCACAAAAATTCTTTTATTATTTCTCGTATTTTAATTTAATTACAGTAACTGTTTGCACGACGAAATATTTGGTAGCGCAAGATTTTTCGATTTTTTAATTTAATTTAAATTAATTGTATGACTTTATTTTTTAATTGCTTTAATTTAAAAATTCACAATAAACAATACAAAGAATCATAATTCAACAAGATGATTTTCGACTGAAATAGAGAAATCAAGACGAATAAATGGGCTTAGCAACACTCTTTGTATTTATAGAACCTTGTTGAATCAATGCTATATGTTTGAAGTGGCCTCTTTAAAAGTTCCCTAAATATTACAGATATAGAAGGTTCGAAGATTCTTTTTTATTGAATTTGTAATCGTACTTCATAATTAAAGTCTAAGTCGATCGGAAACTATTTGGTAAAATCACGGGCGGAGCTAATGCATGCCTACATTTAGGTCTGGCAAATGGGTCGTATATGTCGTTTTCATGTTGTTTTCGTGTAACACATGTTATCTTAACGAGTCGTGTCGTGTCACATCCGTTATCTTAACGGGTCCTTAACAGGTCGGGTCAAATGGGTAAAGTGACCCGACCCATTATGACCTATTATGACCCGTTAAGAATTTTTTTTTTTTCTTCTTAAATTTGCACATACCACACATTGCCACATAAATATTACTTCAAAACATTAAAACATATTTGTCCTTTAAATGCTACATCTACACTCGAAAATAAGAGCCTAATTAACAAACATTCATACACTAACATCCATACACTACTAGTCTATTACAAAATATTAAATGTGCAAGGATATGCAAAATGAAAGAGTTTTTGTTTTCAAGGTTGTGAAGCATTTCTCAAAAGTTTAAACCTTATCAATGGAACTCAAAGCTTGCATGTTATTCCTTTTACAAAATCCTCAATTTTCATCAATCATCATGACATAAGATTTTGTGGTATCCACTAGTGTAAATATTTTAAATTGAAGATCAAATTCATTCATGGTATTCATATAGCGTCAAGGAGTGTAGCTGTAAACAATCATCAAAATCAGAGTTAAAATAACTGTTAAATTGTGATTTTTAGTTGACAACCATGGAAAAGTTTTGTTTCGTTACTTGATCTTTGAATGTTTGTTTTTTGCAATTTTTGGCTTACGATATCTTGAAGTATATACAAATAAGTTTGACGGTTGGATCGTTGAAATTAGTTTCGCCGAATGCATATTCCATCAAAACGATATATTCACTAACATTTAGAGTTTATTTATACTTTCATTAAGTATAACTAGTGTAAATATTTTAAATTGAAGAATGAATTCATTCATTGTATTCATATAGGGTCAAGGAGTATAGCTGTAAAAAAATCATCAAAATCAGAGTTAAAATAACCGTTAAATCATGATATTTTGTTGATAACCGTCGAAAAGTTTTGTCCCGTTACTTGATCTCTGAATGTTTATTTTTTTGCACTTTTTGGCTTATGCGATCTTGAAGTATATACAAACATGTTTGACGGTTAGATCGTTGAAACTAGTTTCGTAAAATGTGTATCTCATCAAAACAATAGATTCACTAACACTGAAGAGTTTATTCATACTTTCATTAAGTATAGTATAAGATTTTGTAGTATCAACAAATGTAAATATTTTAAATTGAAGATCGAGTTCATTCATTGTATTCATATAGGGTCAAGGAGTAGCTGTAAAAAAATCAGTAAAATCGGAGTTAAAATAACCGTTAAATCGTGATTTTTTGTTTATAACCGTAAAAAAGTTTTGTCCTGTTACTTGATCTCTGAATGTTTGTTTTCTACAATTTTTGGCGTATGCGATCTCAAAGTATATACAAACATGTTTGACGGTTGGATCGTTGAAAATAGTTTTGTAGAATGCGTATCCATCAAAACAATAGATTCATTAACACTTAAGAGTTTATTCATACTTTCACGAAGTATAAATAAGATTTTGTGGTATCCACTACTGTAAATATTTTAAATTGAAGATCGAGTTCATTCATTGTATTCGTATAGGGTCAAGGAGTGTAACTGTAAAAAAACATCAAAATCGAAGTTAAAATAACCGTCAAATCATGATTTTTCGTTGATAACCGTCGACAAGTTTTGTCCCATTACTTGATCTCTGAATACTTGTTTTTTGCGATTTTTTGCGTATGAAATCTTGAAGCATACACAACCAAGTTTTACGGTTGGATGATTGAAATTACTTTCGTAGAATGCGTATCTCATCAAAACGATAGATTCACTAACAATTAGAGTTTATTTATACTTTCATTAAGTATAACATAAGATTTTGTGGTATTCACTATTATCAATATTTTAAATTGAAGATTAAATTCATTCATTGTATTCATATAGGGTTAAGAAGTGTAGCTGTAAAAAATTATCAAAATCAGAGTTAAAATAACTGTTAAATCGTGATTTTTTGTTGATAACCGTCGAAAAGTTTTGTTCCGTTACTTGATCTCTGAATGTTTTTTTTTTTTTTTTTTGCAATTTTTGGCTTATGCAATCTCGAAGTATATACAAACACATTTGACGATTAGATTGTTGAAACTAGTTTCGAAAAATGTGTATCCCATCAAAACAATAGATTCACTAATACTTAAGAGTTTATTCATACTTTCATTAAGTTTAACATAAGATTTTGTGGTATCCACTAGTGTAAATATTTTAAATTGAAGATCGAGTTCATTCATTGCATTCATATAGGGTCAATGAGTGTAGCTGTAAAAAATCATCAAAATCAGAGTTAAAATAACCGTTAATTGTGATTTTTCGTTTATAACCGTCGAAACGTTTTGTCCCGTTACTCGATCTCTGTATGTTTGTTTTACACAATTTTTGGCGTATGGGATCTTGAAGTATATACAAACATGTTTAACTGTTGGATCGTTGAAACTAGTTTCATAGAATGCGTATCCCATCAAAACAATAAATTTACTAACACTTAAAAGTTTATTCATACTTTCATCAAGTATAACATAAAATTTGGTGGTATCCACGAGTGTAAATGTCTTAAATTGAAGATCGGGTTCATTCATTGTATTCGTATAGGGTCAAAGAGTGTAGCTATAAAAAATCATCAAAATCGAAGTTAAAATAACAGTTAAATCATGATTTTTCCTTGATAAGCGTTGAAATATTTTGTTCCTTTACTTGATCTCTGAATGTTTTTTTTTTGTGATTTTTGGCGTATGCGATCTTGAAGCATACACAAACAAGTTTGACGGTTGGATCGTTGAAATTAGTTTCGTAGAATGCGTAACCCATCAAAACGATAGATTCACTAACATTTAGAGTTTATTTATACTTTCATTAAGTATAACATAAGATTTTGTGGTATCCACTAGTGTCAATATTTTAAATTGAAGATCAAATTCATTCATTGTATTCATATAGGGTCAAGGAGTATAGCTGTAAAAAATCGTCAAAATTGGAGTTAAAATAACCGTTAAATCGTGATTTTTCGTTTATAATCGTAAAAAAGTTTTGTCCCAGTACTTGATCTCTGAATGTTTATTTTTTGCAATTTTTGGCATATGCGATGTCAAAGTACATACAAACATGTTTGAAGGTTGGATCGTTGAAACTAGTTTCGTAGAATGCGTATCCCATCAAAACAATAGATTCACTAACACTTAAAAGTTTATTCATACTTTCATTAAGTATAACTAGTGTAAATATTTTAAATTGAAGATCGAGTTAATTCATTGTATTCATATAGGGTCAAGAAGTATAGCTGTAAAAAATCATCAAAATTGGAGTGAAAATATCCGTTACATTGTGATTTTTCGTTGATAACCGTCGAAAAATTTTGTTCCGTTGATCTCTGAATATTTGTTTTTTTACGATTTTTTGCTGATGCTATCTTGAAGTATACAAACAAGTTTGACGGTTAGATCGTTAAAATTAGTTTCGTAGAATTCGTATCTCATAAAGTTCAATGTGGTATGTGTGTGTATATATATACATATATTTATTAAGTAGATTTAAATTTATTTATTTTGTACATATAACACTTAAGAATTGAATGGTATGTATATTTAAGCCGATCCAATGGTCACCAATTTTTAATATTTAATTTAATATATATATATATATATATATATATATATATATATATAATTAGTATAGTTTTGAGCGGTATAAAATTGTTAAATTAATATATATAATTATTATAGTATTTTTTAGGGTTATAACCCACGTGTATACCCAAACCAACATGTTATCTTAATAAGTGCTTATCAGGTTACCCGATAACAACCCGATTCGTTATCGTGTTGACCCGAACACCTGTTAATTTCGTGTCATGTCGTGTCGTGCCAGGTCTACCTACATTGCCTAGTGCGGGCAGCTGCACTCACTTGGAAAAATAGTGCAACCTTTGTCCCATTATTTGGAGTGGCAAATTGAAAATTATACCTGTTAGCGTAGTAAAACCTCCACTTAGAAAAGTAGAGCAGGATTTGTCCCAATTGTAATTTTATAATTTAACTATATTTTGGTGGTCTTCTTATAAAAAAAAAAAAAAAAAATAATATATATATATATATATATATATATATATATATATATATACTTTGGTTGATTTTCTTTACACCCCATATAAGTAAAATTCTGACTCCGTCACTAATAAAAATCAGCCATAGTAAAGCAAATGACAACATCAACGAATTAAAAAATCCAATAGCTAGACTTGATCACTCGCAAAGATGTAGAGTACAATTACTAACTCTAATGCCAAGTAGCAACTCTGTTTTCACTTGCATTGCAAACTTTTGAGCGTCTTGGCTGACAGATCAAATGCAATGGTGCAGTCCATGGTGGAAGACTTCTTCTTCTTCATTATAAGCATCAGTTCAACCTTTCCAGTCACCTTAGCCGCACTGTTGAGGGTCAATACCCCGCTGCTCAATTCACTGCCAAGATTGGAACCGCTTAATGCACTCGAACTCAAGCTCACCTCGACATTCATTTTTTTGGTGGAAAGCATTCCAGCCATAGTCTTTGGAAAAACTACTTGCCCAACAGCCGCGCCTTGGTACAAAAACGTGACAGTGTTAGCATCAAACTTGTAAGGACCCGAGTTTGTGTTTTTCACCTTGATTTGGGTTGTGAATTTTGTGTCGAATGAAGGTGTCGCCGGGACGGAATTGAGTTCTTGGACGTCGATGTTGCCTAGCCTGACCTTAGGGGTCTTAACTTTCATGACAGTGAGACTGATCACAGTTATGATAATAATCTGAAACACAATGAAAACACCGACATAAATGGCCAACTTGATTCTCTTCTTGCGTTTGAGCTCATCGGTTGATTGCAAAGACTCTGCATCACTTCTCTGGTAACCATTTGCCGGTGCCAAGGGATAGGCCTGGTTGGTTTTCTCAGCCATGTTTCTTTTTGTTTTCTGGTATGAAATGGGGAGGAAACTTTTGTTGGAAAATTTAATAATAATAATATTATATTAAATTTATTAATTGAATGGAAATTAGAAGTGGAACCTTTTGGTAGAAAGATGTGTTTACTCAAATGAAGAGTTGCAACTTTTGACTCTTCATGAATAGTCACATGTTTTCTAAAGAGGTATCTCACATTCTATAAATAGGGAAGCCCCCTATAATCACAAAATAACTTTTCATTATTTACATAACACATAGAGTGCACTCAATATTAGAGAGTCTCATTAAGTCTATATGAGAGAGTTTTCAACACAATAGTGATTCATGGAACCTTGTGATTTGGAGTGTTACTATTACAAGGACGTGGTCTTTGTATCTTGAGAGATAGAGACATGTGCCGATCAAACATGAGCACCGTAGTGAGGCGTAAACTTGTCTTAAGGACAAAGTGTTCAACATTTGCCTCAACCGTATTTTTTAGGTTTTTCTAATCCATTATATCATGTTCATTTAACATTGGTTACTCATGTGCATGCATTATTGTGATATATAATTGCATGAATTATTTCTTGATTTTCTATGCGATTTATTATAGCAATTAGACCTTAATTTTTCCAACAAGTTTGCCTGCTTTTGTTTTGTCGGTAAGGTTTTCTTGGATTAAACTTGATAATGGAGGGAGTTGTTTGTGGAAATATTGGAAAAGTAGCGTGCTATATATAGTGTTTAGAGTTTGGCCTATTTTCAATGAGTTAAGAGGGAGAATGTATTTCCAGGAAATCGCGAGTTGGGGCAAGAATTTTATTGCTAACGCCAACGCGTCCAAAGCGGAATGTGAAAACTTATTTTTGACTTCTAGATGATGGATGAGTTTTGAGAGGACTTTTAGCATATTACATATTAACAGAAGCTTTGATTCTGTCCGTTGACATACACCAAATCTCCCATGGCAGGTGAGATTGTGAACCATTACTCTATAATAATCACCCTTCACTAATGAAATTGTTAATAGTATTATCAAAATTTATATTTTCTTAATTTTGACTTATTCTGTTGTCTAGGTTCGTCTTCAATTTATTGCTCGTAACCATTACAAGCAAGAAGTTCAAAACTCTTGAAGATTGAGAGTTTTGGTCGTTTAAAGCCGAGGGATTAATATAAATTATGAAGATAATAGATGTGAATACAAAGCTGTCACTACTATAAAAATAAACTTTGCGCGACGAAATAAGATTGGTTGTGCAAAGTATGAATTCATTACTCAAAACCTTGCGCGACGAATTTTTTGTTGCTAATGATTCGTCGCTCAAAGTTTTTAGTTTTTTTTTAAATATATTTTATTTAATTAAATTAATTTAATATTTTACACGACGAAAATTGTTTATTATTTCTCTTATTTTAATTTAATTATAGTAATTGTTTGCACGACGAAATATTTGGTAGCACAAGATTTTTCGAGTTTTTACTTGTTTTTAATTTAATTTAATTATATGACTTTACTTTTTAATTGCTTTAATTTAAATTGATACATTCAAAATAAAATTACATATGAAAAATATTGATCAAATTATCCATAATATATATTATATTTAAAATGTACATATAAATTAATAAAGTACAATAATAAAATCCTAATTCTCAACTTTCTCCGTCAAAGTCCCAACGATTCCCTATGAGAAACAAAACATGGTCAAATAACCAAAAAACAACATAAAATAATACCAAAAAATGGGCATAACCTCCCCTAAAATCGGCATACCCCAAATCTGACCTCAAACTCCCCATCACCTTGAACCTGACCCCAAACCCCATCCTAAACCCAAAATTAACTCCAAAAACACATTATTGAAAAAAAAAATTAGGGAGAAAATACCTTTACTCAAGATTGAGAGTGAATGAGAGATTGGGAGGAGGAGAGATTGTGAGACAGTGAAAGGAGATGGTGAGAGAGAGGAGAGAGTGAGTGAGTGAGTGAGAGATAAGACAGAGAGGAGAGATTGAGTGTGAGTAAGAGGAGTGAGTATGAGAGTAATGGTCGGATTTGGGTTGAGGGAAAGAGAAAGGAGTGGTAAGAGAATAGGGAGAGACATTGAGAAATTTGTAGAGGAGTTATTTTAGTTTTAAAAACCGTATCACTTTGTGCAACAAATAATACAATTTTGTGCAACGAAAGATTGGTCACGAAAAGTCTTAAAAAAAATTCCCGCGTCCCATTTTTGGCGCCCACCTAAATTTTTAGAAGGGAGACTTTGGATGCGGTCCTTAGTTATGAATATTCTTTGATTGAAACCTTGTTAGTTTTTAATTTTTGGTCGAGGTCATTGAAATCAATGTGATAATTTATTTCTATGTACGTTACTATATTTTTTTAAATTAAAAATTAGAAATTTTAGTTGTTTATATAAATGAGATTTTAAATAAAAAACCATAATTTGTGGGATTAAAAATATTAAAATATAAATATACTATAGTGTGTGTGTGTGTGTAAACATGGGTACATTCTTCAAAATCACAACAAAAAAAAAAAAAAAGATATTAGGCTTAATAACATTGGTAAATTTCTTCGATTAAACTTGACATGGATACATTTTAAAATCAAAGGAAAAAAATGTACCCATATAAGTTTAAAAATGGATTAGAAAAAAATTGAATACATTTTATGTAAAAAAATGGTACATTTTACATATAACAAATTGGTATATTTAAGAATGAGTACATTTTAAGATTAAAAAATTTTACATGAATGGGTACATATAATTAGCATGGGTACATTTATCAAAATAAAAAGTACAAATAAAAAAAATATATGGGTATAAATACAAATAAACTTTAAAAAATATGGGCACAAAAAGAAATTAATATATGGCTACAAATTAAAACTGAAAATAAAATTGGTATAAATTAAAAAAGAATTACAAATTAAAAACTAAAACTAAAAATATATGATAAAAAATTTAGTCATAAATATAAATATGCTAATTGTATTTTTAACATTAAATGAATATATTTAGAGATTAAAAAATATTTTCTATATTGAAATAATTAATGATGTTATTCATACCAAGGATCTTGATTAAAAATTAAAAAGGAATAGAATTTTAATCAATGGAGTAGCAAAAGGAAGGATAATAACCTAATTTCTCCTTTTGAGGATTTTGTTCGATGAAAGGATTGGTTGCTCAAAATTTTGTGCGACGAAAGATTGGTCGTTTCAAAGTTTTAAAAAAAAAAATTCAAAATAATTTTCCCGAGTCCAATTTTCGGCACCCGCCCAAATTTAAGGATTTTGTTTGACGAAATAATATTAAATTTTGTTTCGTCGTGCAAAATTCATAAAAATAATTTGTAATATACAATTTAAAATAAATAAATAAAATAAACAAGGTTTACGCCACGAAAGATCAATATTCGTCGTGCAAAATTTAAAAAAAAATTAAAAAAAAATTATTTACAATTTAATATATAAATAAAATAAAATAAATAGGGTTTAGGTTGCGAAGTGTTGATTCATCAAGAAAATAAAATAATAAAAAATAAAAAATAAAAAAAATAGTGTTTAGATGACGAAATATTAATATTCATCACACAAAGTTTTTAAAAATTAATAAAATCTAAGAAAATAATTTTATTTTAGAATTTAAAATAAAAAAGAAATAAATTGGCTTTAGGCACGAAATATTTGAATTTCGTCATGTAAAGGTTTTAAAAAAGAATTTTTATTTTATCTCCTTTGCTAATCAACTCGTAGACTTTCTCACCAAGGCTCTTCACAAATCATGTCATGGTTCGAACAGACTTGACCGGTATAGGAGGACTGCTACAATTGAAATAGTATCTCCAAATTCTTCTCCAGTATCATAGTTTTCCTTATATGATTGTAAATCCTAATTGTACTTATATGATTCTTGTCATAATAAGTTAGAAAACAAGACAAATGAATGGGCATAGCAACACTCGTTGTATTTGTAGAACCTTGTTGAATCAATGCTATGTTTTAAGTGGCCTCTTTTGTTAATGTGTAAATTGATGAATTGATTTAAGTAAATTACAAATATGTTTAGTGATGTCTCTTAGCTCATAGGCTAAGATTTAGTGATTCATTTTAAATATGCTAGTTGAGTCTCATAGGACTTGGTAGTATACAAATGTCTTAAGCTTAGTGGAGTATGAATTGGATGGCTGAGATTGAATTGAGGATATGTCTCTTTCTCTCTCTCCTCTAACGATTATTACATTAAAAAGTGTGTAAGCTCACAACCTGTGTGCATATTCCCTAAAAATATGGAAAACTTTCAAAGAGTACTCTCACTCTGAGTTTTAAGGAAGAAACATTCTTATTCTTCTTCTTTCTTCAATAAAACCGCTGTATTCTTCTTTATTCTCTCTAACATGGCCTCAGAGCCAGGTTGAGTCTGAACTTCTGGGCGTCGTGTTTGTGAAAGGGTGAGCTCAGATTCATAGCAAAAGCTCATTACAGTGATTCAAGTTCATATCAGTGATCGAGTCTAACATGGTTGGATCTGGAGGAAGAGAACTCAAAGCGCCAGTCTTTAATGGCGAGAATTTTGATTTCTGGCAAATCAAAATGAAGACCATTTCCGATCACACGAACTGTGGGATCTAGTTAAAAATGGGTATGAAACTCCGGCGAAGAAGGAGGAGGAGCTCACGGAGGCAGAGAAGAAGCTGATGCGTGAGAATATGGTCAAGTATGCTAGAGCACTTGTAATCATCCAAGGTGCCGTCTCAGATCAAATTTTTCCAAGAATCGCAACCCAGAATAGTGCAAAGGCTGTGTGGGACATCCTGAAACAAGAATTTGTGGGTGATAAACAAGTAAGATCTGTGAAACTCCAAGGTCTTATAAGGGATTTTGAATACACTTACATGAATGATAATGAATCTCTCTCTGTGTATATTGCTAAACTGTTTGACCTGATCAACCAAATGAAAAGCTATGGTGAAGATCTGAGTAATCAAAGAATTGTTCAGA